TGCTCTTTCAGGCTCTAGATTGATCGGGTGGTGTATGTGGTATGTTGTGCTCTCCGTGTTGACCGTTCACCACCCGTGGAGCAGCCGTCCGTCCGAGCCAGATCGGGGACCCACCAGAACCACCATCACGGCCAGTCGACGCCACCAGGTAGCCACCTCTTCGCATAGTTGTAGATTAATTTGTGAATTCTGTAGGGCTCAACAAAAGGGCATACTTCAACTGGAAAATAAAATCAAATGTAATGAGTAGGATGTGTTCCTGTACTCATAATGCATTAATGCTCCATAGTCTCGCCTGATGTGACCAATTGTTATAGAGAGATGTTTTATCTTTTTCCCGCACTGTTGAACCATTAATTTTACCTATTTGATGCCTTTTCTTTTAGGCATGGAAATGCTTCTTTTGGTCATGCTATACTATTATAATAATAGTGCTTATTTTTGCTACTACATCATGCTTGTTAGCTATGCTTGACACATGTTTTTCCTGCTAAACCCAGCAAGCAGTTTTAGCCCATTTGGTCTTCCATTAGTTCAGTGCCTGATTCGTCGGGGTTGTTGTGTTTTCTATGTTTCTCATCGTGTGTCGGGCAGTGGCGAGTGCAGCTAATACTAATACGCCAATGTGAGCTTCTTACAGACCTTGTTTCCCTCTGCTCCTGCTACCTCTCCCTCCCCTTATATGCAAGATTGTACGATCTGCTTCGTTTCCTTGCTACATTTTTCCCACGGTACATAAACCTCTGACTAACTGAAGAGAAAATGTCGTTGCCCTATAGTATTTTTAGATTAATTTTGTGTTGTTTTCTATATATTGCATTCTCACTACCATGCTTAATTATTTACAGGGCCATCAGAACATGTAACTCGAGTCTAGCGCCGCCTACCCAACAAGAATTGCATAGACTTCATTGTGGAAATCTGAATGTAGTTATTTATATGGGGGTTGCGACAGTAAGCGGGTCAACACCGCTGAGGTGCACAACCATTCCGAGAAGTTGATGACCCATCTTGCCATTCTCTTATTGCCTGCTTGAGGTGCTAATTATTAATTGCTTGTCGGGGTTGATCGTTGCCTGGGTCGATCGGCTGGAAGACTGAAGGTGTTGCAGAGCCTGCTACCCAATTCCAACAAGGTCACTCCATTTTTCCTTCTTTCTTTGTCCCTGAATTTGGTGCTGCTGCGTTTATGTTTGTGATGAAATTAATGGGTTCATGTTTGCGTTGGTCTGCGGGGTTAGGCATCAATTCTTGATGGGCCATTGAGTATCAGAAGCAACTGCATCTCCAAGTATAGGTCATTAAGCATGCCTGGATGCATTTGGATGATGATCTCAGTTTGAGGGAGTTATTGGTCTCATCGATGACATACGCAAGTAAGATCTCTATGATCAGGGTCCAGTGCTTAGTTAATTTCTCGAGTGCTTGAATTGGTTGAATACATATGAACCATATCATAGGAAGAGATGTTGTGCTAGCTTTAGACAATGCACATTGTTCAGTTCATATATGGTTCCAACGATTAAATTCCATATCACAGGTTTGCCCAAGGCAAAAAATATTAGTAATGCCACATGTATACAGTTAATGTTTATTCACATGTTTCCGCTTCCATTTTCTTGCCAGCAAGCAACACTGACCTCACACGTGTACTACTCGTTGCATTTGCTATATTGATTTACAAATAGGCTATCATGTATGTGAAGCTTTCTTCTGCTACAAAGGGCTCCTAGGCTTAATATCTTTATAGGATTATTGAGTTATTGAATCTAAAGGCATATAATCAGTTCTCAACTGATGTATATATATATATATATATATATACATTTTTTTCATCCTCAAAATAATGTCACTTACATGTCTTGTCCTACATTTGTGATGTTGCTGAGGAGGTTCAGTTCTTGCAGGCGGGGTAAAACTTGAGTCACCTATGAAATGATTTTTACCATTTGTCAGAGCAGAGGTTTTTCTGGGGTTGAGCCTGTTTGGCTGTTTATGAGCAGGCAACACTATGGTCGATCAAGCCCTTGCAAGATAGTAATGCATTTTTGCATTCTGGGGTTACAATGGCGAGTACTAAACAAGACGACCATGGTATGAACTTTGTATTCTGGGATTGTGCTAAATTTCATGCTTCTGACTCCAGCAATGCATTTTTTTCATGTACCTTCCATTTAGCTAGAAACTTGGGATAACTGAGGGAACTTCCTCACTTTTTCCGCTCTTCTCAGATTTTAGATTGGGCGTATAAACATGCGTGTCACAGATTGAATTTGAATTCGAGTATAAAATTAAAATGGGGAATAAACCATTGTGCCATGTTCAAAATTAGAACTATAAGGAAGAAAGAAATTATCAATTAGGATGTTGTGTTGTTTCTGTGTAAATATATGCCATGCTAACTTGATGTTTAATATAGGTGTGTAGGATAATGTCACATTTCCGTTGCAACCAATAACTTTCTCAGATTTAATCAGTTCTGTGAAGCAGTTGAACTACCAAAGCAACCACTAGCATCATTTTTTATCAAAATTTGTTTTAGTTTACTCCACTTCCTATTCGTTCCTTTTGTATGCTGAACTGAAAGTAGAACTGGTTAAGCATTTAAAAGAACCTTGTTGCGGTTTTTAATACATGTTGCAGTTTTTAAGTGGCACTACAAAGATACCCCTTATAAAGCAACACGTATTCAACAATGTTTTGTTGCAAAATTTTGCTTCATTGCTATGCAACACTGCCTTCTAATCTGAAAAATCTGACAGATATCACAACACTCATATGCTTATAAAGCACATGTTTCATAATAACTAGATGAACTATATACATGCTCTCCTTTTTATTGATTAGTTGGTTTAGCCCCTAAACTATCTTATATTATCTAAAAGAAGGCAGGCATAATTAGTTTTCCTGCAATTTTTGTTAGTTCTCTATATTGTTTTTGTTGATTTTTTATCTATTCTTCTATATCCACTCATGCAGTAGCAGTACATATGTACAATATTTTTGAATGCAGCTCCAGGAATAGGAACGTTTCCCGCAAAAAAAGGAATAGGACTGTACTCCTCCCAAAAGACAAAAGCAAGAGTAAGTATTGCTTCTCACATCCTATAGAAAATAATCTCACAAATCAATTTTTCCCTTGAAATATTTACGGTTGCAAATATCCATCTTATGCAGCAATGCAGACAATAAAAATCCAGCACCAACAATGAATAGCCGGAGTAAACAAAACAAGCAAACCAAATCATGACGGCCCTTGAGGAAGGGTTGCAGTGTCGAGGAGCAGCAGGCATGTAAATCTGACTGCAATTCGTGTATGTCTCTTCCTATTTATCTGTTGTTCAACTGTGTTATTTGTGTACTACGACAAATTTGAGTAATTGTCGGTCATGTAGCTAATGTAGGCGCAACTTCATGAACGTCTGCCAAGGTTCTTAGTGAGGGCTTCCTCTAAGATGCTTTCAAATTTTTGATTATCTAGCATATATATGCAGTGAAGATGTCTCTCCTTTTTGGTACCGCTCTGAATAGGACACATGGTGTTCATGTTCTGTTAGATAATTTTATTCTTGTGTAGTTTGATTTAAAAGATGATAGGTCAGAATGACAGAATGTGATTAGTTTTGCTTTTCCTGCTGCTACACATGATTTTACTTTTACTTTTGTTTTTGATTGTTTCTTTTTCAGTTTCTTAAGGCTAGAACACTACAGTGATTGATTATGCACCTGAAGGATTGATGAAGCTGCTTGGACTGAATTTCTCTTTAAAATACATGGTGATTGTTTGGGATGATTGGGCAAAAATAGTTGGGAATTGGTTTTTTATTACATGCAAAACTTCAAGCCTTGGGGTCTTGCTGACATTTGTTGTTTCAAGTTTAGACCTTTTTCACCGCTGACTATACTCTCAAGTTCAGGTCACGGTGGATGGTTTGAGAGGAGGAAGGCAGAGCAGAGACAAACGACGCATTCCATCATGCATGTGTGTGAATTTGTATCGTCCTACTATTGTGTTGCTTTGTTTTACAGTAATAAATAAAGAGATGAATCAGATTTTCTTTGGTTCGTTAGCAAAATTTTACACATCAAGTATTTTATACATAGCTAGAAAAGTGTACCATCTGATTATTGTTTTATACACAGTTGCTTGATTCTTTTTGTTCCTCTATAGGCCTCTGATCCTGTCTGCAGTGTGTGGCTAGGTTGTTCGTCCACCTAGGTCGTAGGTTCTTTTCTTCCTGCCGACGGCAGGTACAAGACTCAATCAATGGTTAATGGACAAGCACTATATACACCATCCATCTATGCTAATATAGCCTGTCTTTTAAAACCAATGTATGCTATTACCAAGTGATCTGAATATTTTCTTTTAAGCATGAACTTTCATGTAATGGAATATAAGTATCTTTAAGTTGATTCTAAATCAATCTCATACACATGCTTTGTATGCTTGGCTCGCTTTCGCTTTTTGCGCCATGGTCAAACATGCAGCGATGACTTTATCTAATATTTATCACTTCAAAATGTGTCTGAAAAATATTAATGTACACTCTCTCAATACATGACTTGCTTTTGGCCTTTGCGCCATTGGCGCAACTGGTCATCTAGTAGGATGAACACAAGATGGATCAACAATTAGGACGATCCCTCCAACTAATATAAACTGCTGCCCGCAAACAAACAAACAAAAAACCTACTCCCTCCGACCCATATTATACTTGTCGCTGGTTTAGTACAACTTCTCGGAGGGAGTAATATAAACTGCTCAAGCACAATGAGAAGCAAATCACCAGGAATCCAGCTGAGGACACCAAACACATATGGAAGTGTAGTTATACTTATATTTTATCCACAGCGTCACTACCAACAACGGTTACAGAAAACAGATGTAATCATACAACAGCACAGCGCAACCCTCTGAAACAAACGACACAACAGAAGGATGAACACATTACAAACACAAAGGCCACACCACCAAGGGGAACCGCCACGCCTGCTCGTCACAACGCGCACACGAAGTCGCCGCTGTCCTCGACGTCCGCGTCGACGTCGTCTATGTCGTCCAGCTCCATGCTCCCTAGCCCGGGCACCGACAGCTGCCCGGCGAACTTGGAACCGTCGCCCGGTATCCGCGCCTCCTGGATGATGGCCATGATCTCCTCCAGGGTCTGCGGGGGAGCGTTGACGCCGACCATGTGCAGGCTCATCTGGTACTCGTCGGTCATCTCGATCGGCAGATTCTTGAGGAACCACGGGTGGTTCTTGATCTCTTGGATGGTTATTCGCTGCAGGAAGTATCTGGTGAGAATGCAGGTATTCAGCGTTTCTGTTTGGAAACATAGCTGTTTGGGGAGAGGGATTACTTGCTCAGGGTTTGCCACGAAAATCCGGGACAGCAAATGTCTGCACTCCATCGAAATCCGGACGTAATCAGGTACCGAGTATTGTACGCTGAGTATCCTCTGCAAGGATCTTATAAACTTTTACTCCCAAGCATAATTAATGGCATGCGCTGAGTGAAGCAAAATGGAATGAGGATATGGTGCAGCTGATTGTTGGATGAACTCACAGTAATTGTCTTGCGGAAATTCTTCGGTTCGTCTGGGTCCTCAAAAGGATAAGCGCCGACAAGCATCACATATAGTGTTACTCCACAGGACCAGACATCAGCGACCTGAATTGCACAGTGATGTTTGAAGGTTTCAGGTGAAGGATCATGAACACTTGACAAGAGAAACAGTAAATAGAAATTACCTTTCCATCATATTCCCTTCTAGAAAGGACCTCAGGGGCGATGTAGGCAGGAGTACCGACGGTCGATTTTGGCTGAGAGTGCAACACAGAGGACTGAAAAGAAGATGTATGGGTAAGTATACTGGCTTAGTTAGTAAGCAGGTGATTATAAATGTCATAATCTGCTATGGATTACCTTGGAGTAACCGAAATCACATATCTTGAGCCGGGGTGCTTCGCTCCCATCCAGGAGCGTATTTTCTAGTTTCAAATCTCTATGACATATTTGCTGCAGTGGTAACAGGATATGGTTATGTGCTATGTGCTACTTCTAGGTTGCTCTTGTAACTTAATTTGAAATAGTTGTGTACCATGGAATGGCAATAGCTAACTCCAGAAAGCAATTGTTGGAAGAAGAACCTAGCCTGTTGATAAGAATGAATAAGTCGATAAATCATCAATACAATGGCATGCATGTAACTATTAATTATCATAAATTGTGATGAATATCGTATACCTCATTCTCGCTAAATCTTCCAGAACCACAGATCCTTTCAAATAGCTCACCGCCAGCAGCGTATTCCATAACTATGGCCAAATGTGTGGGAGTTAGCACAACCTGAAAAACTAAGTGATCTCTGTTAAGTCCTGCAATCTGGATATGATAATAGATTCATACTTTGAGAAAATAAGACACTGATTTTTAGTGCTCCTAGGAAATAAAAGGAGTTAAACTGAGAAAATCCTTGGTCGATTTGGACTAACAAAATTATATATTTTTAGGCCAGGTCAAAGTATTAATCAATCGCTTTCATATTTGTACACTTTTACGCAAAGGTGGGGGACTATTGAAGCAAAGCTTCTTTTGAGACAATACCATTACAAGTATAACTACCTGGAATAAATATTTCTTATGGTTATGGTGTCTGTCTCTGTCACGTCTTGAATAAAAAAGTATGATTGTGTTCAAATTTAACTATGGTGCTAGAGTTACAACATTTTTTGCTTGTCCATGCATTCACTCGTTCTGAACTGCAGTTAGAATGCATAGCATGAGCAAGATTTCAAGTCCAAGAATAACATTAACCTGCAACACTTGAACAAGAGGCTATGGTGTCCTACTAGGCCACGGTCGCTTCCAATAGTCATATAATGAAAGTTCACATTGCGGCCCCTAAGCAATTATGGTATCTTCACACAACGTAATGGTGGTCTCAATTCTCAACGCCAGCGGCAGGTCCACAACAGAATTACCCAAGTTAGAGGGCATGCACTAGGACAAGCTACTGAATGCTGATAAGCATCCAATCATCCAACAGAATTAATATGTTCTCACAAACAGTTGAAAAAGCAGCCCACTAGTCATGCACATGGAATGAATAAACATAAAATTACCATATAAGCGAGAATAAGGGTCTATCGGAATATTCATAGCCACACCTAGCATATGCTTCAAACTACACAAAATAGGAAAACCACTGTGCGCATAAAGTTTAACAATAAAGGTATCCGTCACTACCAAAAGTGTCCTTTCAAACGCTGCAACTAGGATAAAGGTTTTCTTTACATATTCTAATTGTGCTATTCAGGTTAATGGATGGATAACAGATAGGCACCACTTTCTTGCTGGAATGGGTACAGGACAGAAGCCGAGAAGTTGAACA